TGTATAATATCAGTTTGATGAGCGATTTTCCAGTTTGGTAATAATAAACATTGAAAGAGAAGTATAAATTCAGCTTAAAGCTGAGGATATACTAATTGAGTGTGCTAAGACCAATAAAAGGTTACAATTATAATTTGTTGTTTATTTTGATTGATATATAGGCATAATAAAATTAATTAATAAATGTATTATTATATTGTGAAAATTGTGTTATTATAAGTCCCCCCCCCTACTTGAAATGTGTAGTAGGTCGTCCGTAATAATGAAGATAAAAAAATTTAATCAGATTATGAAGTAATATTATAAGGTAAGATATGAACGATGATTGGTGGGTGGTGTGGGGGGCAAAGCTCCCCACGGGTCTGCTTGCCCTTCATATATATTCAGCCCCCTCAAGTCAAAAGTTGAAATTGGGCCTATGCCCTTTCCCCATAAGCATTTGAAGTTTTATGTACTTGTGTTGTATTTGGCACGTTGGCTTATATTCATAGTTCGTGCAGGGTTAGCTATTATGAGACATGTTCGTATCGTCGAGACACGCAATTCAAACTAATATAATTTTCCTCGCCTTGGAGAAAAAAAAAACACTGCTCATTTTAATTAATTGTTACCCCTTTTAATTTAAAATGTAATGATAATATGTTCCTCGTATATTTTTTACGTCCTTCAAAAGTACTTACTTTTATATATGATATACTTCATGATTTTTTTTTTTAGAACTTTCAGTATATTACTATTACAGTTCAACAATTACAATATGCAATTGAAATAGAATTTAAGTAGCATATATGGTTATACAGATAATAGAATATAGATTATGATAAACACAATCCAATTAAAAATTAAAATAACAAATAATACCGAACAGATACAATATTAATAGGTTAGGTAAAAATAGTACAATAATATATAATGGATCGAAAACAATTAGAATGACCAGATATAGATTGCGTGTACAACAATTAAAATTATTGTAATATTGTTAATGAGGTAATAGAGAATGGACTATGGAATAAGTTGTTTGTTTAGAATAGCTGTAAGAAGCGTAATTAGAGGATTAATTAATGAGGAAAGTACAGAAATAAATTTAGCCAAAGACATATCGCTAGTGTGGCTGTTAGGTAATGGGATAGTATTGGAATCGACAACGGAGGCGAAAGAAACTTTGGGAAGGTGAGGAGGGGGAGTTTTAGGTTGATGAGACGAGAGTACAGTATTCGGATTTTACGGTTTTGAATGAAACGATTTGTTGCGTTTGGGAAGTGCTTTAAATGATGGGCAGCCTCTGTAGTTGGAGGTATGATCGCTCATGCAGAGAGCGCATTTGGCTAGATTGTCTTTGTCCTTAGTGCAAAAGTTGGTGGAATTATCGCCCTCACACTTAACGCAGCGTGGAGGATGATGGCAATAGTTTGCTGTGTGATCGTAGTTCTGGCAGTTTATACATTGGGGTGGACCCCTTTTGATCCTATAGGGTAGTTTGACTTTGATTTTGGTATGCAAAATTGAGGACAAATTTAGAATATCATTGTTGTTGATGTTGGGTTTTAGTTCCACGAGAAACAGCGGGCACGGGTTGCCGTTTTTGATAACGTTAGTGATTCGTCTGGTGGAGTGACCCAATTCTGAGAGTGCGTTAGAAATATCCGAGATGAGTGTTGTGTGGTATAGATTTCTTATTATGACCTTATATGATCGATATGTTGGGGGCATGAAGGTGTGAATACGAGAATCGGTTTCCATTAGATGATTTACTATTACATTAAACATAAGACGACTATGAGGGCGAATGATTAAAAATGAAAACGTAGACTTACAGGTAAAACCGTTTGGGCCGGTGATTTTTACAAACGCATTTTTAAAAGCAGAGTAGTTGATAATGAATAATTATTCACAATATTTAGATATAATAGTATGTAATAATTATGCATTGGAACTAATTTTCAAGCATCGCTTTTTTATAAAAAAAAAATTTAACTATTTTCGTCTTCAGATTTAAAAGTTGGAACTTTTAAATTGGAAAATTAAAAAACATTAGTGTTCATTTAAATTATACAAAACAAAACAAAATCATAGTACGCTAATACTATTAAATTTATTAATTTTTTTTTTGACTTGTTTTTTACGACAATTCACAAAGTATATAAAGTATAATTATTGATTGGTTAATTTTTTAAATTTAATCTATTAATATTTGGTCATTCGAAAAAGTTCATATTGCAATACTGAAATAATGTAAATTTAAGGATAACAATAATATTTTATATATTTATACGGTTCGGTGCGGTTTACTCTAGCGTCTACCATTATAAATCATAATTGTACATCATATACACATAATAATTAAAATTGAAATGTGTTACGTAGACTGAAATACTACGAATACAATGAAAACAATTTAGAAATGAATTGTATAGCATTTAACAATAATATAGATCTTTAGAGTGAATATGTCGGAAAATAATGCTTTCGCATGAGCTCGATCAAATATTTGCGTTACGATTTTTTCGTGTTTCTATCAATTTCGAAATCAATTTTTACACTATCCGTAGCCTTTTTAATATCCTCTTTGGTTGACTGAAAAGACACCAATAGCGCGTTGGTATTTAGTTCGATGGCCGTTGTAGCTTCTTGATCCCACTTAGAGATTGGATTTTCGATCATGGCTTTGAAGTCCGGACGATAGTCAATATCGATGTTCGTTTTTCTCGCCATTAATTCATCCAGTTGATGTTTAATTTTCTGAAATGTTTCCAATTTCTGGCAATCAATATTCTGAAATGTATAAATGTACAAACCTCGAGTATAATAATTAATAACAAACATTAGGAGATTCTACAACGCATATTCCAGAACATATATATTATGATTGCATTTATTCATGGCTTTTTTTTAAATATAGTAAATCTGACGTCTGTTGTAATCTGCTAATTAGTTTTTATTATCTGTTCTTTCCTTATTACTGTTAAACAAGTCCGAATCAAAGGATAGGTGACATAGGCTTACGCCTAAGCGGCATTTAACTTTTCAAACTATAGATAATTTTTATAAAAAGTTTACAATTCCTAGTAGCTACTTATATCAAATTATGTGTAATAATAAAAAAAAAAAGACTATAAATTGTTTTATTTTATTTAAATTAATTGTGGTTTAATTGTCTAAAAATATATTGATCTAATCAATTGTTAACCAAATAAATATAATTATTTCAAAATTAAGTCTATATTTGTATTGCTTTTGTAAAAAAAATATTTGATGTAGAATTTACATGTAAGGGGCGTCGAAACTTAAGTTTGCCTAGTTGTGAATAAGTATTTGAGCCAGGCTGCTGTTAAATAACTAGTTATAATACCCACTTTTCGATATTTGCAGTATATGTTTGAAAATCATGAAAATGATTAAACCGGTCAAATGATGAAATATTTTATACGGCGGCCAAGGGAAATAATAATATATATGATTACGCTGCACCATTAATATTGTACCGCATTATATTTTGTAATGGGAAACGTGTAAATTAAACATTGATTTAATCGTTTAACTGTGTGTAACAGACTATGTATGATCGTATGTATATTGCGTTATTATCAAGTTCAAATTAATGAAATTAATTATAAATAAAAAAAAGGCAAGGCTTTAAGGAATAATATCTCATCGCGGTGGATTAAATTCACTACAACACTTTTTCATCACCTGAAAAAATATCATAAAACGTCAATGCTCGTGCTATATATTGGATTAGATTTGATATTATCGACAAATAGTGTGAAGATAATCCTTTGAATTATTATCACTCCTAAAGGAATTTAGGATTAACAATATAGATGGTTACCTCTTGAACGCATAAGTTATTAGTGTTGCTTTATTTTCATATCAGCGATATTCTCGGGCTTATACAGTTTCTTTTGATATTTTACCATACTGTTATAGAATATTCACAACATTGGTTTATTTTCGTTAATATTTATAAATTTTTAAATTATTTTACATATAATATATTTGTACTATCGGTTCAGTAAAGAATTATTTTATTTTATGCTTGGAGTACACACTCAAACAATTAGACAAAACTAAAAAGGCGTGTTTTATTAGGTTTTATTTTAGATTATTAAGGGTTTGAAATGTATCATAGATTTAAACGTAAAAGAAAACGCTCATTTACGAATATTCGTTGATTAATTCTGCGTAAAAAAAATTTATGACAGAATATTGGGTAAGTATGGGGTAGGTCTATTGTTGTTTGAATTATTTTCAAGCCTGTGGAACTAAGACTCATGGGTGTAAATTAATTTGAATCTGTGTAATTGAAAGTTATTATTTAAGTAACTATTGTAGAGACGAGAAAATAGCCGGATTACAGTTTAGTGCAATTATAAAACGAACTCTCAGGAAAAAATAATGTTAATTTATATAAAATAACCATACATGTATTCAAGTATTTCGTGTAATGTTAATATTTTGAAATATTTTATAAGTATTTGAGTTCGATAAACAAATATAATTGTGTAGGTATAAATAAAATTCAATTTTAAGTTAACGTGTATCACGCGTATGTTTTATATGTATGTACTGAACTTTAAGTAGGTATTATGTTGTCTTGGTTACACACGAAAATCATATACAATACGAGTATACGCGTGTTTGTTATACTTCCAAAAGGTTATGCATTCGGTATTCGAATATTTCGTATATTTTTTTTTTTTGTACCGGACGTTTGGCGAAACAATAAAATTATATTTTGTTCAAACACGACAAATTATGATTGAAAAGTATTTTTAAAATAAAAATAATCGTCATATCGGTTTGAATGTTTATGTGAAAAGTGTTTAAATTTATAGAATATCCGGATAGTTCATATTTCCGGGCATTCAAATTTCAAAATCCACGTTAAAATGATAAAAAAAACTACTTGTTCCCATCACCGCAGTGTGCGTGAAACATTTCTCGGTAAAATGTTCGCACAACATCGCGATAAGAGAATGAAAAAAAAAACAAGCAAATATGACAGCGTATGAGACGACGAACGTATATTTTAGTAAATTCTACAAACAATTTGTTCGAAATAATGTTACGTGCGAGAAATAATTGTGTTACAGTTATTGCTTATGATTACGATTCGAAGGCGGACGAGATACGACGTGCGTAGCACGCACGTCATGGGTAAAAGGCATTATCGGTAAGAGGCGAACAGTCTCCGTCGGTAGTACAACTATCGACGGTACCCTACAACTTTGTACGCGCGCGCACTGATCGCTACGTGCGGAACGCGGTGATTTTTATTTCTGTCGTGACGATCGTGGTAAGCGCGAAAAAAAAAAACGGTATTATTCGAACAACTGTAACGCGCTAATGTAACGGACTGCGGACGGTCCGGTCGAGACACGGCAACAGTCAACTGCACTATCGATGCGGCGATCTCATTGCGGAGGCCGTCGGGTCTGGGTTCGCTCGACGGCCGCCTTGGCCCGTTCCGCGGTCTCGTTGAGCGCGTCGGACGCGTACTTGAACATGGCCTTGCTCTCGGAGCCGACCGCCCGGAACAGGCTGTCCAGCGCGTTGCTGATCTTCTTGTCGCCGCCCACGTCGCCCCAGTCGTCGCCGCTGACGGTGCGCCGTATGTCGTCCACGGTCGACTGCAGCTTGTGCACGGTCTCGTCCATCACCCGTTTGGCCGCGGCCACGGTGCGGCCCTTGGTCTCCTGCAGCCGGTCCAGGGCGTTCGCGCCCAGCAACTTGTTCTCAGTGTTGTACCGTGGCCCACCGCCCTGCAGTCTGTTTAGCACGGGCGCCGGCGCGTGTCCCGCGCTGTCCAGCGTCTCGGTCGCCTGCTGCTTGACGCTGTTCATCACGCTCGACATCCTGTCCACCAGCGACGGCGATTGCGCGGTCGTCGGGTCTTCCGCTCCGCCGCTGTCTTCGTTACCGTCGTGGCCGGTACCGACGGCGGCCCCGGACGCGTTCTGACATAAAAAAAAAAAAAACTCGTATGAGAGCCAAAACGTTTTGTGCATACACATCGACTAGGACTTGATTGGCACACGCGTGCGCGGTCACAGCACGGGCACGAGGAACCGCGGGGGGGTGTCTGATAGCGCCGGCCGCCCGATTCTGAAATCTTATTTAATCCTTTCGATTCAGATTTTCAGATTCGTCTGACGATCCACACTCTCGATTTTCATTCGATTTTTTTTCCATAAAATCCATTCGACATTTTTATTCGACATATCCAAAAATAATCTAACACCATCGGGGATTGAAACCGAAATCCGGATAAAATCGGATTAAATCTGAATCCTGGAACGGTCAATTAGTTGGTCGTCATTCACACGCATACATGGACCGATTTGAGACGTTTTTGTTACGTCTCGCCACGTTCGTCTATAACGCGTTCTTCTCGGGTCTTAAGAATTTCCCAAGTCGAAGTTCGAGACCTGTCTTCGGTCAATCAATACGATCAGTTTTCATTCAGTACAGTATAAAATGTTATTGCAATCGGATATAGTATCCCTTTCGGACCTACGGGTCATCATAATGATCCAAGTTTTCAATAAATAATTATTTATTAGGATTGACGATTAACAGAAACCTCCGTTATCATGTTTGTGATTAATATTTACCCAATTATCATTTATCCCGGGTTTTTATTTTTCTCATAATACTAATTTCTATTTTTAGTGAATGGGTAACATTAAATGTATGAAATATTTTGATAAAATCGTTGACATGAGTGACCAGATGATTAGATTTTATAAAGTCCAAAAAATGGGCTTTACGTGTTATGGTTCATGCATTTGGTTTAATTACTAGTAATTCGTGGCTTCAATGTAAAAATAAAGCAAATTCCAGAACATTCAATATTTGATTTATAGCATTTTCGCTTGAATTTAGCAGAAATGATACGCAATACTGTTATACAGGCCCTATTATTTGTACAATTTCGGACTGCACACTTGATTTTACTGCTTTAAATGAAAATTTAGTCTCGCTACTCTCTTAGAAAAAGGAATATATTACATACATAATATATATATGTATGCATTAAATTTTAAAAAATTCAATAACACTCATATTTCCTAGTAGTTGGCTTATTATTATTAAATTTTTGTTTTGTAGACCGTAGTACATTTCATGGTGCACATAAAAATAGGGCCTGTTGTTATAATGCCATAATCGAAAAAAATATATAATACTAAACTGTCATGCAGTTCTAATAACGATAGTTTCAGCTTTAGAAGTCAAATATGAGAAACTGAAATATCGCAACCATATAACTGCTAAACAAAAAAATTCATATTGACATTACAATGGTTCCAAATGTAGTAAGATACGACTGAATGGACTACTTTACTAAAATTGACAAATTCAAGAACGATACTAAATGCCAGAATCTTATGAGTTCCAAAATAAAATTGTCAAAATCGTTACGCAAAATGTAAAATAAATTCAGTACTAGTGGTGTAATTAGTTCGAATGCACACATATGTATTCCAATTATATATATTTCTCACGTATTGACTACCATTTATTTTATACAACAAAGTGTATTATAATCGTATGTGACCAGTACTGAGTACAGTAAATGAGATAAATAGAAGAAGGCTGGAGTGGGCAGATCATGCTTGGAGAAAACCTGAAACCATGATATAAACGGTTCTAAAATAGAATCCAAAAGAGAAGAGACCTTTGGAAAAACTCCGAATATGATGGAAGGATTGTGTTAAGAGGGATATAGCTACCGGATGAAGATTGACATATGTTAGCGCAAAGTTGTTATAGATGGAGACACTATTTTTGGATGTGTACTCTAAAAGGCCGTTAATCCCCCAAAAAAAGTGTATTAGAATAACATTTTGTTCCTAATCTTAACTTTATACAACAAAAAACTCCCGGTCGAAAAGAAAATATGAATAATAAACGAAATAAACTTGAAGCATAAAATAAACTATATTTTTCTTTCCTTAAATAATATTGAAATTACTACACGTAGAATGCAATATGTAAAAACCAAATGATTAAACTTAGAACAACGCATGTTCAAGTGTTCCTTTATGATTATAATACAATTAATATGTAATAATGATTTTTTGTGGTCAGAAAAGTACCAAGTGACCAAGCTGTCTGTTGGACGAGTGGCTTTTGCACTCCTCCAATCATCAATACTTTTAGCCATAAATGCGCGATCGATTCGATTTGATTTTCGTGACCAAAAGAATATTGAATTCAAATAAAAATAGAAATCGTTCGGCGAATACCGTGCACTGAAGGTAAATCAATTATGTACTTTATAGGTTCATATCCTATTTAATTTTCGCAATTTAAATTTAATAAAAAATAATAATAAAAACATACATCTTCGACAAACTAACTTTGATTATACGTTTTACGCTTTGTATTTTATTTACAAACACTTGTGTATATATATATTGTTACAGCCTTGATGGGACGTTGATGATTACGGTATACGATAGCGATGTTATTGTATTCTAGTTGTGATATTTCGCGGTTTATAAAAAAAAGGCCTTGAACGACTATCAGTAATTGTAGTTTCAGAGTTTGAAGAATTCAACAAAAGAGTGGTTAAATTAATTGTGATTCATATTAATTCATCGAATATAGACTTTGTTTTTTCGTTTAAAAATCATAATATGTGTATGCAGCAGGGTTGCTACATTTTTGCTTTTTGTACATCATGAGCTTATTTTTATCAAAAAAACAAATCATGAATAAATTGTATGTATTACAGAACGTAAAAAAAAGTGAATTTTAACGATAAAAAAATATAATATATACATATATAACAAATTCATAAAATACAGGTTAACAGGATTTTATTCTTAGAAATTAATCTATCAGCTTTTATTAACTATCAGCTGCTAGCCTATTTACAGTAATTCATATTTCATAATGATAATCAATTATTGATAATTGAAAATATTAAAACATTATCTAAATAACATTTTGTGTTGATATTTTTTATGTAAATAAGTTTGCAAGCATGAAAATGCGTCGGTATCCTCTTAAATATTAACAAAAAATATAACTATACAACTGTAATTGTACCTAATAAACGCTTTATTACAATATTTATTATCACCTTTGGCTTTCCTGCTTTTTTTAGTTAAATGATTTAATAAATATCATTATTATTATTATATTGTCATTAATAAATTGTAAAAATATTATTATTTTATTCTTGTTGAGTTGAAAATTCTAGATAGGCTTAGTGGCCTACTCTATACGCCATGCATATTAAAAAAAAAATTGAAATGACGCCACTGGTGATAATCAATTCATATTTAAAAAATTTAAGCCTTCAGTTATTTCTTGCCTCTCTATATTTCATGTTCATCTTAGAAAACACACTTAGTAAATCTAATACTAATACTAATCTTAGTAAAACCACTAATTGTACTGTAAATTAGATGTTATCTTCTTTTTGTGAAAACATTTTATATTCTCATTTTATACTATATAGAATACTTATTTTATTTTTTATTTTTAATGTTCACATATTAAATTCTACAACGTTAATTAGGTTAGATATTTACAAGTAATTGTATCACGTCTAAGCTAATTAATTTTTTTCAGTTCCATAGAAAATCTTTAGGCACATTATTTTTCTCAATATTAAAATATAAAAATACATGAATCGATATACCGATAATTGAGTCATGTGGAATATAAAAGTATGTGAGTAGATTATAAACGAATGAACTATTTTTTTAATTCATAACTTTTATGTTTTAGATTGAAATTGTTCTACAATGTATTACAATGTATTGGTTTCATAATGTTTTGTTTTTTGTTCTTTGTGCATACATATTATTAGGTATTATTAGGTATTAGAGATGGTTGGACATGGGTAATAGTTGAGTAGGTAGTATTCACTTGTTTTTCTAACGTTGGTTGAAAAAAATATTTTTCCTATGTGATGATTGAGTTATTGTTGTTGAACTATGAGTTTAGCTTTCATACACAGTAATTTGATAACGTTATGGATTAAGTGGCTGTAAAAAGGGATAGTTGGTAATTCAGTGAATGTCCTTAATTGAATATAAATCTCGTATAAAAACGATTAGTAAACATAGCGACCATTGTTGTCATGTTGAATGATGTAGGTAGAGTGTAATTTTATGTTCTGTTACCATATTTTTCATTTACAGGGAGATTTCAATTCTAAAGGCAGCCACGCCTGAATAAAAATTTTGATTTTACCGTGGAAAATCATAAAATAACAGAAAAAATAAAATATCACTTTTCAGAATACGGTAAAATTTATTTTTTTTATGCAGGCATTGCTACCTTAAGTATTGCAGTCCCCTGTCATTTAAAATAGGTAAAAATCAGAAAAAGAAACAAAATTGGAACTTTTTTATAGTATAGTATACTTTAGTTTGACAAAATAACAAAATAAAATGTAATAACATTAAAAAAAAAAAAAAAATACACAATAGTTTTACAAAATTATACATAAACATTAGTTATCTATATTAAAAAATTAAGTACATACAATATTTATTAAAAATTAAATAGATACAATATCTATGTACAATATGAATACGTTCAATGTGTCTATAAATTATTTATTTATAATTATTTAACTATAAAATATAAGATCAATATTAATCAGTTTTTAAAAACCGAATAAAATAATAGATGAACTAAAGCCATTAACTACAAATTCATTGGCAACATTTATTTGTCTGTTAGCAAATAAAAATCTCTATATTAATCTAATTAATTTAAACCGAACATTGATTAAATAGTACAAGCTCACGCTTGAAATAATTTTCACTAAATTTTTCATCCATTTAATAGTTATAGAAAGCTGATTTATGAGGTAATGATTTTTCTTCTAATTTTATAGAACAGTTAACCAAATCAAAGGAAAAATTTATTTTTCGAATAATCATGTCAATTCGAACGGAAATATTTATAATGTTTCTCGAAATTGGGGTTTAGCTAAATTAAAGGTTAAACTATCCAGAGATTCAGCCATAAAAAGATAAGTATCCATCAACTTCATATAAAACTCATCCTCGATTTGTTTACTAAACGAAATGTATTTTTATGATAAATTTGGTATAACACGAATTTCATTATCATCACATTCTAGCACATGAATAAAAATGACTGTTATATACTAAATTATGACAGAAATATAAAAACAAATGATAAGTTGGTCGCTAAAAAATTAAAAATTACAGCCTAAACATGATGTCCTTTTAAATTTTCCGGTAGAATGTGAAGATCTCTTAATTTATATTTATTTATAATATTGAATGGTTTTGAACTTATATTACAAAATTTTGCATCGTCAAATTTAAGTTGTTTTTTATTTGTACGTTTTTCCATAGGAATATTGATTTTATATCATTTATGTATTTTATTGCACGCATTGATATCTAATAATTTTTAGCAGGATTTTTTAAAATAAAAGTTTTTGGGGAATTTTAAATTGTGTGATTAAGGTTTCAGTTATTATATTTAAGTTCATTTTAAACAAGTATCCATAACTCGTAGGTTCATGAATATGAGAAATATAAGTTTTAGATTCTATTTTATCAGTTCGTTTTAAACAGCATTCTAAATTTGCATAAATTACAATCGGTACCCGTTCGTTACAATTCAAATTTTTAAAATAAATAAATTTCTCAGCTGCTTTAGCGTTCATTATAGGATTACATCATTTATGTTTACCACAAACTTTTTTATGTTTCTCTAATTCCATCAGACCTCATGTTTATTATTATTTGGTTTATTACTAAATCTAGTCGTTAACGAATAATTGATTTGAAACATTGTCTAAACCTTTGTGGACTTATTAAGTCGGAATAATTATTTATTTAACAATAAAAGTGCAGTTTCATTGTTAGTAAAATAAAATAAATCAAAATGGTTAGATTTTTCTTTAATATTTATATATTTTTATATTAAATATATCACCACATGATTTTTTCAAACGGTATTGCCCTTGTTGATATAAGTATCGCTCTCACATGTCTTCTCCAATACCGACAAGTATGATTATATCTGGAAAAAAATATTTATTAGTAATAGCTATTTTATTTATAAATAATTATAAATAATAAACATACCCCGCTTATTTTTTTTTTTTTTTTTTTTTTGATATGCTCAACTACATCCTTTTAACGGTTACGCGTGATTTAACGAAATCTTAAACAAAATAAGAAGTTTAGTAATCGAATAATTGAATTGAATTTATATAAAATGGTAAAATTCAATATTATTTGAAAATATAACTTACATCATCATCGGTATCGACTTTAGAAGCAGCAGTGGACTTTGAAACTAATGTAGTTTAATAATAATTTCGTTTTAGCCTCGTATCAAGGAGTATGAAAATTAAACGAATAATGAAAAAAATTAGTGTTATTACTCTCGTGAACTAATAACATTTGTAAAATTATGTATCGTGAACGTGTTCATCGACTTAGTGTGAATACTCAACTACTAGATGAGAATTATATAACACTATTCGGAAGTCGAGATACATAATTATACACACGTGTATCACACATGTGAAATTTTCGTTCCGTTGGTATACGCACTAAACCTTGCACTCTTAGTATGGTGTCCAACAATTCAGTACACATTTTATATTTTTACCATATACTCACCTCGGTGTAGGTCTTAAAACATATTTATGATTTTCCACGTGTGCAACATGCTCTCCGTAGGTTCGTATGTATTTGTATTTTTAAGTAAAAAACCATAAATACTAACCATCAACTGGGTTTACTGTTAACATTTTTGAAAATGTTATTTATGTATCAAATGTATTAAATATTATTTAAATTTTATAATACAATTTAATTATATTATTAAATAATAGAGATCAATCAATTAATATTTCATTTTGTTACTGGGAGTAAGGTTTAGAGAAGTAAAAGGTACATTTTTGGTAAAAATGATTATATAAGTACGTAGTTTCTTTGATCGTTATTTGACAATGAAAAATCGCAAATTATATAGACATATTACATACACAAATTTTTCATCGCTGAATCTTACCGAAATAACTAGCAACAGAATAAATATGAGTATTCAAAAAAGTTCAATATTATTATGTTGTACTATTTTAATAATATTCAACAATCAATATTTGACGAATAAGGATATCAAAGTAGTACACTATATGTTTCATAGGATATGACAGCCAGTTTATTTCGCAGTGATACATTTTAGATTTTGGACGGTTTGCATGATAAAATAATACATCAGAGTTGTTTTTTGTTTTTAATTTAAAACAACACACGGTTTTGTGACTGTTAAACGATAATTTAAACAATTTTTTATTTTTTTCAAAAAACAATGCCTGATATAAAAGTATAATATAGTCTTAAAATTGAAGTAATACAATCCATACGGTTTCCAAAATCGTATATTACAAGGCATGTGGTTAAGTATTAGGAACAATTCGTGGTTAGCTTGGAATAATACTGCGGAATAATTTACGTTTTTAAATCATGATATAATAATAAAGTAAAAAATATTACACTTATACTTAAAAATAAATGGGTAAATATTTTCGTGAACATAATAAGAAACTATTTTTTATTTAAGTCGACATTTATGGTTAGATTATGAATTACAAATAAAAACCTTATACATCATCGTAATAATATAATCGTGAAATAATTATTGTACGAGGTTTAACGTACAACTTTAAATTAATAATAACAGTAGTATGTTCTTCTTCGAAATCTCTGTCAATATCTAGGTTCTCTTCAAAATACATTTGTTCGTTTTTTTGTAAAACGCTTTATTGCTTGATTTTTTTTTTTTAAATCTTTCGACTTTGGATCGAATCTCATCTTCTTTGAGGTTCCTAAGAGCTTGTTTTTCAACGGGTCGTCAATTACCAACGGTCTACATATCAAGTCGACGGTTCTTTTACCGATTTGACCCAAATCTCGTACCAAGCACTGTATCAGTGACGGGCGAACAACTCTACATTCCACTGGCTGCAAATAATACAATTTGTAACGTCCTCATAATACAATATTCAGTGCCACACACTTGATTCTGGTTTTTCTACGCCCACCGAGTACTTCTACCACCTATATCATCGCAAACGAGCCTTATTGAACAATCCAATGACTGTACGCGTTAATATTGTTATGGTATATCATTATAAATTACATGCATACATCGATGTTGCTGTCGATACGCAAGAAACGATTGTATCGGAAATGTATACAACTTACAAATAAAACTTACAAATAATATTCAATTTTTACACTTTACCCTCAATCCGTTACGCACTATAAAAATAATTAAAAAAGGTTAGTGTGATAAGAACTAGCCATTGTTGACTTGAAAAATCCGATAAGGTCAACAGGAAAACGTTTAACAAAACTTTTTACAATCGTTATTGTTATTAATGTTTTATTGACGTCTGGTAGTTAAATAGTATTGTTATTTTTTACCATAATTTATTCATTGGTTCAATGTAGGAGGTTAGGTACTTTACGCCAGTTATACTTAAAAAGCGTGAAATACAATCGTTATCAGTCAGATTTTAAATAAACCAGTTTTTGGTGGTTAAGAAATTCCTACAAAATGATTCTGAGTGAAGAAGGCTGGTTGGATCAGCTATAATGCTTTAAGATAATTTACATTTTAGTATAACCATTGAAATTTGATTTAATTAATTTCAAATTGTATGTTAAAATTATGATTGTTATTATATACAAATAATGCTTGTATAAGTATTCAGCTTACATTTCAAGTTTTTACGTTAATATTTTCGTAATTTTTATCGAGTTTTGTCAACATCTAAAACTCATACAATTATAAAAAATATTTATTTTTAAACAAGTTTAAACATATTTTTTTACAAGTAAAAAAGTTGTATGAGAAACTCTGTATTAAACTTTCTAAATTTGTTGTTGAACTTAAGTTATTTATTATTTGACATTCAACGAAGAAAAGAAAATATAAAATATTCAAATACCTATTAAATATCAAGAAGATGGTCAAAATTGTTTGAAAATTACATTATCTTTAACGGTTATATAAGCATTGAGTAAAAATTTCAAGTTTTGATGATTATTGTTTTTTTTTGTTTGTTATTCACAATTATTTGTAAATAAGATGACAAATTCAAATAATTTCCAGATAATTAAAACTTTAATAAACTTTATTATCAGATAGAATTCCTTCTTTTGATGATCATGTTGAGTCGATTATTTGTACACAGAAATATAAGATAAATTAAAAAAAAAAATCACATCATTTTAAAACCAATACATTCCTTCATTTCACTAATAACTTAAAATGTGATTAAATAAAATACAAAATGAATAAGTAAATAATATATAATAATGACTGTTTCAATTGTAGAAAAAAATTATGTTTACTATAGTAGTATAGTATTTTATTAATGTACCTATGTTGGGTAATATATATTTTTCTCTTGTTTTAATTTTTTATTTTCCGAGTAATCATAATTTTTCAGTAAGGACATAATATGTATTTTTTTTTATTTTAGATAAACATGCAAGATAAATAATAATTTTTATTATTATAAAAATGTGATTTATTTTCTTTGAAATAAATCATAAATAATGTGTTGTTATTTTTTATAATAGCTATTAATCATCATAATAACAAATAATACGAGAATTTTTGTTATTATTATATGTTTATATGAGAATGTATAAGATAATATTAGATTAGTTTTTTCATTAAACTTCAGTTATTAACAATTTTATTACTTATGCTAATAACAAAAAAAAACCATCGACGATATTCAAACTAATGCTCAGTGAACATTTTCTCCAGTTAATTTTAAAAGCAGTTCCATGAGATGTCAACAATTATAGTAATATCGATATGCCATGTAGATTTTTAGGACAACTTATTTTTGAGTGATTTTTAAAGTCTTTCCCCATCCGAAAAAATCTAAAATACCGCAATAGCGTTAAATACTCGAGTACTCGATCCTGTACATGACCAACATATATTTTTGAAACATCGTTGAAATTATTTTTTTTTTATTAAAATTGTCACTTATATGTTTCTAATTCCGTAGCAAAATATTGTCTAGAAAAAAATTCTACTGAACCAATAATTTACTATAGATATGTATGTAAAGTATTTTTGGGTGCAGAGCGGATAGGATTTAGGGCAAGGATGCTCAGAAAGATACTCCACTCGTTAAAACTTTCAACGCTCGTAAACGTTTAGTTGCTGCAGTTTCAGTATTATCGATTTTTTAGCAAAGTCCTCAAGAACGATTGGCTTCTTGAAATTAAATTAAAAACTTGTGTACGGTCGTTTTGAAAATTAAAAATAATTCCGTAGTGAATTCGAACTATGCGTGTACAAAATAGGTCTCCAAAAACCAGTGAATTTTATGTTTTACATGGAGAAAAACACATATTATGTGTATTGAAATCGTAATTATTATGGTTTGCAAGTTTGAGCCCACGACTTGATGATAGTTGTTGAAAAACACATAAAATCATGAAGATCGTGATTAACGGTGGTTATCGTTATTGTACAATCAGTGTTTAGGTTTCTGTGAATTTTTTTCGTAACACTAAATTATCTCATATTTAGTTATACTTATTTGATTAGAGGCTTGTCGAGGATGTAGTTGTTGGTTAGTTTGCGTAAACAATATAGTTTTTGTTTATAATCTACGGGGCATTAATTGCATGTTGCCTTATCTTATAATTTTAACCTTACATATATGTAACGTTATTTAAATGTGATTACGTAGAATACCCATTGGGTATTAAAAAAGAAAACAAAATTTATACTATTATAATAAAAATATTATTAATTATTATTTGATAAACTTGACACTTCGTAATCCGTAATTTTGCGTATACATAATACATATATATATATTTTTTTTCTTTGAAAATTAATCTAATAAAATATCTGGATTTACAGCATAATATTTATTCATATTGATTAATGTATCCCAGAAATATTTAGAATAATGTTATTTATTTAAATCTATTAGATATTATATTATCTACGTATTCTATAATTCATGTCGAATGTGTTTGAGTTATTTGCAAATGTTACTTTTAAAAAGCGAACAGAAAAACCTAACAATACTTATAAACCCGGTGAAGAACCGTGTAGATTTTCATTACCATTTATAAACATAAACGATTTCGCAAATTCCGTATTTATATGGACGATTACGCATGATTTCAAATGCTGTAACATCCGTTTATAAATGCTTGTTAAAACTTATAGTCAATACAGATGTTTTACATACGTATAGACGTTTTGATTCATATAGGTACTAGTAATTTATATTTGGTGGTAATAATAATTTTATTGCATGAAATGTTACATTGTTAATATTGTTTATTGAAATAACATTCTTTGAACATAGAAATAAAAACACAAAAACTGATCCGTTTCACAATACAAATAATAATTAAAAAATGTAAAACAAAATTAATTTTAAAATTAAAATAAATAATAATAGTAGTGTTATATACCATACAACGAGAATCTCGTATAAAGATCCATTAAACCAAGTTTGCACGAACTAATTACACGTGTAATTCAAAAACATATGACTGCACAGTTCAAAATTACGGAAAAAATGAGTTCAGGTTTTAACGATCGTGCAACGCTGCATTTGAAATAATGCGGAATCGTTTATGTTTATAAATGATTATGAAGATCTACACGATTCCGCAAAATTTGCTGAATCGTAATGTAGCCCTGTAATCAATACCATATGCCTAACTGCACACAGAGTTATAAATTAATCAAAGTATATGCTGATTGTGTACGAAATAGTTTTAGTTACGTATTTTAGTCACGTAATACAAGTATTATTAATAATTATTTTTGATTGATGATGTAGAAAATGCTGTCAAAACAGACAAACGCGTTTAGAATAGGTTTTTACGATAAAAAGTGAAAAACATTAAAAGTTATATTTTCGTACAGTATAAATTCATGATCATAATCGTAAACAAATAGAAATAATGTGATATGCTAGCAGCATGCATAGCAGGAATTCTGAGAAAAATAAATTAAATGATATGTATTAAATCGTGTATAGAGTATTAATAATGTTTAGATCATTTAACCATAAGATATTTAATAAATTCATAACAGTATTCTGTATCATTATGGACAAGGAAAAGTTACCCGGCGGCGGTGAAAGAAAAATCATATAAAAAGTTAAACAAAATGGACGCAATATTCATTATAAATTTGCTTGTGCTTACGTGCAGGATGGAAGCCATCAAGAAGATCACCAAAATATCTCTCAACACATGCCGAGAAACGATCATTTTGTTTTAGGTATTTTTTTTTATTTTGTACTTTAGCTCACGAATGTAAAAATGAATTATAAATTAAATACGTATTGTTACCTATTTGCTTGCACGTTGAATGAAGACTAAACACATAATAATATGATACATCGTCTGTATCAACTTGAAAATGTAATGTGATAGATTTCAGATTAGATAATGAATAACTGAACATTGATTGTTGAAACTATTTATGATCAGTGGTAAAAATCGGATACTATTGACATTTTTTAGGTTCATATTATCGGCCTGAAGTCGCATAATATTATGATATTGATTAGTGTTATTTATCTTTTTTTATTCAGTAGTTCAGTCGATGATTAATGGTCTTTATAATCGTTATAAAGAACGTGTTTTTTTCGTAGATAAACTAATATTTCTTTATATTTAAAACATTATTGATATAGTTGTTTTGCTGTTGTTGGACAACACATTAGGAAATCTAATAAAAATTATAATAAAAAATAAATAATATTAGTGTGATAAATTCAATCATTCAATTATTCAAATTTATTTTGGTTATAATATATTTATCACTCAAACAAATAATAATTTTTAAGTTTCATATTATAATACCTGATATGAAGTCATTAGGTAATCTGTGTAGTATTTGTACGATAATAGTTATTAAATTAATTTAAAATGAATAGGAACGGCATAAAACGTTTTTCGTTTCAAACACAAACAAAAAGTAAATTATATATTATTAATGTTTATTAAAAATTTTTGAACATAGCGGCTTATAAATCATATTGCGTTCTTAAGCTGCGCTTTAGAATTGCACATTATTTAAACGCACTTTATAAGTGTATTTCACTCTATATTTTCGGAATTTACTCGTTGACCTGATGAACTTATATATTTAGATGTGCAATTATAAATATAAATGTATTCGTCTTGTTTAAATTGACATTGGGCGTATATATGAAATATGTGATAACATTTTTTGTGACAAATATTTGTCTATTATTAAAGAATGTTATTTAACATATTGAAAAAAAACCATAGATCAACGAGTTTATTTTATATAACATTAAATATAAATATATTAGATAATAGAATTAAAATATACCTACGATATTTTTGAAAAAACATTTAGATAATAGACCAATAATAGTTGGGTGATCAACCGTGTCTACATCATTTTTGTTCAATTTGATTAAAAATTTATCATTTTCACCAAATAAATAATTCTAGAATTTTATGTTAACACGAATAAATGAATTAGTATGTACGTAACGAAAACTAAAATAGTTTATCAACTACTATAACTTCAATTACCCAGCAAAATTTAACAATGTATTATAATTAGTTATGTGCACATTATACACACTGTTCGTGTACTTGTTTGTGGGTAAATATTAAAACAAAATATGTATGTCTACGGCGAGAGCAAGTAAGCAAGATTATGTTCCAGTGAATTAAAAATTTGTTGATTCATATTCCAGGACTACGAACATTGTAACCAGCTTAAACATCTATAATTTTTCTTTTTGTTCAGAGTTCGCCTTGTGAACATATTACCATCGTGTATTTTGAAGTCTATACCATATTAATAAATATACTTTGCGATAATTCTGGACTAGTAATGACGCGGTCGTGCGGACACTTTACGGCGACGTGCAATGTTTAACAGTGCTATAATATTACAGTTGGTAGTTCGTTGTAAAGCGCAGATTTTCGCTCTGACCGTATTGCTTCTAGAAAGCAGTGATTCAACGTCTACTCTAGTATCACAACCGTAACCATAATCCAAACTGATGACTAAATGGTCTGCACAGGATTTGTTGTTTATCCAATCGCCAGTAAATGCGCGTCTCTCCGACGTACATTTTTACCGCGGCGTAAATTATAAAATCCAAGTCTACGCGGTGTAATGTAGGTACATTACCGGCAATTTTTTAATATTTAATTTCACTGCTTCGTTCCGCTAGCGCTTTTCGTCGTGCTCGCAAAGCAACGGACGAAAATGTTGAATCATTAATACATTTAAAAGCAACAGATGCTGTAGATTAACGAACGAAAAAGGAGGAAGAGGCAAAGTTATTTCGACGAGAAAAAAATCAACAAAACGTGTTTTTTTAAAATTTTTTTTTTAATAAATTATAATATTCACGTTTGTATTACAATACGCATAGTACAAAAAATATCGAGTAAACAGAGCGGAGTACGTAAGATTAAAATGTTGAAACACGATCGCCGGCATTGTAATGATATGACACGGTTCGCGGGACTATCGAGTGCGCGTGATGTTGGTAAGTTATAGTGCGTGTACATTATTCCCGGAAGACGCGTGACATGCGTTAAAAAACGGAAAATGAATCTTAAAATTAAATAGTTCGGACCGGAACGACGTCTATTTCGGTGTTATATTTTTGGCCGGAACCTCGTCCACGATCGTTTGGACCGGTTTTTTCTGATGCTCCTCCGAGGATTCCGGGTCCCTGGGCTCGTCTTCGGCCGAATGAGACTTGCTGAACGAGTTCTTGATCTTGGTGATGGCACCGTTCACTATGCTCTTGGTGCCGGCCACCACCTCCTTGCGCTTCTCATCCAGCTTGTGCGTGGCCCCGGACACGGAGTCCGACACCGACTCATACGCGTCAGACGCGCCCTCCTTGACGCTGGTCACGAACCCCTTGAACTTTTCCTTGAACGAGCTTGGCGCAGCCGTTGTCTGCACCGTTTCCTTGATGTCCGACACCGTATCCTTGATGTCCGGCAACGCGTCGGCGACCTGGTGCTGAACACTGTCGTCGGATGCGGCCAGCTGCAGAAAACAAGAAAATCTTATACCACGTGAATACGCGAAACGGTTGCGTGATGCCGCATTAGGTTTTTATCGTTACGTACTACTATATTAATAGGCGTTAATGTTTTTGTTATTTATTTATTTTATTGTTATTATTATTATTATATGCGACAAAGAGCAGCGTGCGCAACACCGGTGTTGCCGAGGGGCCATGCAGGGGTCGATTAAAAGAATAAAAAAAAACCTTAACAAAGTTATTTCTACAGTATGGTATCTATATGATGTTATTTGGACCAACGGTACGCAGTGCGTTCGCGAATCTCGTGTAGCCCATTCCGCCACCAAATCTTACGTTCTAAAGTCGAAAATCCTGGAGATTATAGAAAAGAAAATATCTAAATTTCCGTTGTGTTACTATACGCGGTTATTGACGTTGGAAAAACCGTTGTAGATGAACGAGATCGTGAGCGAAACAGATACGTTTCATCGTTGTCAAGACCATGTGAAATCAAACAATAATAATAATCAAAAGCGAAATTATAATATATTAAATTATAAGCATATACTTTGCTGATAAATTGTGAAACTGTTATTATAATTAATTTTCGGATTTATAATTATTATGAAATACGCAGGCAACTAGCAAATTATTTTCAAAACGATTTGAAAGCCCGATGATTTTGATAAACGGAAATGAAGTCGACGTGCGATACTTTGAAGGTTTCCGGCGTTATTACCATTCCAATATAATATAATGCACTGCTGTAGCATGTCGAAACGAGCGTAATTTTTTTGACAGTTTATCATTCGTCTCGTCGCTTATAAATATGTATTATATATATATTCGTTTAAAACGCTGTACATATCAATGCGACGGTTTTTAAATGGATTTCTCCGATTCCAATCTCTCGCCTTATGAAGCTCTCGAATTTCTTTCGTATATTTTGTCCCTAACTCAAACGCATTCTCCGCGCACTGATATTCTACACATGTACGAGTCATTCATGTTGGCACGTAAGCATTAGTATAATTTTCACTCCGCTTTCTAACAAAACGTGAGTCGTTCGTCTTTTGAAAGTATACGAATATTAGAAACATTCGATTAATGTTAAGTACAGTTTAAAATGTATCTTACGCGTGATACATACCGTATATTTGTTATACATTTAATGTTTTTAATGTGTTTCTTCTTTTACAAAAAAATAAATAAATACATAATGAGCAATGAATTAAGTCATAACCGTATGACTTAGAAGTTAAAGATGTTTAATATTTTGTTTTATTTATCACCTTCGATCAAAACTGCAACTAAGCGTCTAGCTTTTGGTTTACATAAAATATTTTAGTTACTCTCATCAACATGTATGATACCATAACTTTTATTTCATTTCCAAACATATTTTTCATATTAGTTAAGTCGAAATTATTGTAATCAATAAATATACTGAATGTAACAATAAAAGCATAATTAAATTACATCATGATTTCCGTACAAGATCTCTCTTTTCGATGGTTGCGATTTGCAAACATGACAATTATACGTCTTCAATTTGATGTTTGATTATTAACGTAATATAATAGTATGTAAATGTATTGCTATATAATGTATGCGGATTTTCGAAACTCGAGCAAAAAATCATGGACATGATGCATGTCTAATGAGTTGCGTATAACAAACGCTATATAATATACTGTACATGAGTAAAAAATAGTATTAGTACACCTAATCTAGAGTTATTCACGTACGAGATGGCAAAATAGGTGTGCTATGCAAAATCGTAACGACCTACGTCATACCATTTGAAAGTATGTACGAATTAGATTTAATACTTCGACTTAAACGTGAGTATAAGTTAAGTATAATTATATCGGTGAACCTACGAATTTTGAAGTGTTTAAAAAACATTAAGTAGGCATTATTAATTTAAACAATCGTGTTTACCATGCACGTTTAAAATGTGTAAACATGAATTATACATAATTTACTGATTTATAGTAATTTTATCTGTAATTATATTCTATAATTGTATAGTAATTTAATGTTCCGTATGATGTCATCATTAAGATCTACAGAGTTAAATAAGTATACTCGTAATTCAATACAAATTAAAGGTTTTGTAAACGACCTATCCCAGTAGCAAAAATAGTATTTCTATTGTCAAAACAATTATAATATAATAAGGTTTCTTTGGACGATTCCACAAAATGGAGCAACCGTGGTATACAGCAACGTAATAATTTTAAATGTTTAGAGATTAAGAGAGTAGAATAGGATTTTAAGTAGGAATTAAAGTCCGTTACATACATTTTTATTGCAATAACATCTAATAGTATAGTGTACTGTTGATGGTTCTTTTTTTTTCTTTTTTGGTTTTCATAGTTAGTGATAGATGTACCGGTAATAATAATTGTAAATCGGTAAAAGACAAAGATATGTAATATAATATTATGCTTTTATATGGAAAATTGATTTTATTGACAATGCGAGTTAAACATATTACAATATAAGTCGTATCACGTGTAAGTAATTAAAACATAAAATATCCACGTACAACGTTTGACGTTGGATACGTTAAAAACTATTTTGAATATTATTTCTATATTATCCAATAGAAGTTCTGAGCCCCGGTTCAGTTCTTTTTATGGTTTATCGCATATTCGTCAAACGCCTTGATGGCGTCCTGTTTGTATTTATCGTCCGGATTGGTCTTGGTTGAGCTGAAAATATTCTTCAGCTTGCTAAACGCATCGCCGAAGAAGCTGGTAACCTTTTGGGTAGTCTCCGCCTCTTTGACCGATCGAAAGTTATCTGTCGCGGATTTCTTGATATTATTCATCATTTTGTTCATATTTTCTTTCGTCATATCCATAGTAGTCGGTCGTTTGTTTTCATAATTCTGCTCTTCCATTGCATGGCTCCACTAAATTAAAACAAACCATCACACAACTTTTTTTCTTCTTTTTTTTTCTAACCCATTTATAAATATATACATTATACATACATTATATCAGAAGCTATAATATTACATTGGGCCATTTAGACTTGTAAATGTTAACACATTAAAATATAAATCACAGCACTCACGCACGTATTCATTATAAACTAATTTAAATCTATAATCATCACATTATAGCAAGTAAATGTTAATTGTTTGTTTAAAGAAGAAAAATTAGACCATCGAGTTAGCGCATTGAGTGGGAACCGAATAGGACGTACTGAAGAGTAGAGTGAATATTGTATATAACAGTGAAGTTAGTTTTCAAAATAAATTTATAAATATAAATTGCTTCCAAATCTTCAATCCGAATAGAGGAATTTGACGTGTACAACATTTAGATGTAGAAAGTCGATTTTTGCGGAGGGGGAAGTATAAAATCAAGTTCTAGAATGTTTAAATTCTCCAGAGGCCACTGAGTATTCGACATTTATAATGAAATTTGATATTTACCTAACAACAACTAACATAGTTCTATACCATTTAATCTAAATAATTAAATAAACGTTTATGTATCTATTTCCATATTATTAAAGAGTAGAATTTTGCAAATTTCGCACAGACATTTAATTTTTATGTATATGTAAATATATAATAATATTTATAAATATCGTCAGTTTTAAACGAGTAATTTTACATAAACGTAGTTCTATTATATGTTCACTCAAGCCGGAGTGTATTCATATGATGCCTATAATTTACTTATATTATTTTAATTAATGTATAAAGTGCAATGAATTGTAGTATATGATGCATTCATAATATTTTAAGGAAATACTTTTTTTTCATAAAAAATATGTAACATATATTTCGATAATATTGATAAGTGTGTGGTCGTATATTCAAACAAATGAAGTACGGCCCAAGTTGAAGTAGTTTTTGTTATTATTATGTTATATAACATGACAGTTCCATTGTATTTTTTTTTCTTAAAAGGCTAAAAATATCGTAGCCAATTTGACCATGCTATGATATATATACTATGATATAAAATCTTTAAACAAAAAATCCTTTACGAGGTTCTTAATATATCGTTAGATACTTAGAAAGGTCACCCTTCCGACCTAATAAAGTAAAATCAATAAAACACGTAACGGCAACGAAAATAGAAAAAATGAAACTATCTCTCGTATGTTTATACGTAATACCTATGTAATAATTAATTCGACTTTGAGTTATGAACCAAATAATAATTATGATAGTAAAAGTAGGAACTGTTTAATCAAATAAAAAATAATTATTGATAACATTTGTTCCAATTTCTGAATCAATTCAAATTGATTTTTACCACGCAAATTAGGAAAAATAATAACAAGTCTGTTTGTTTTTTTATCAACACACTCGAAAATATTTTCAATATTATTCAATAAAACGATTCTTAAACAACTATGTTAAATCGTATATTACTTTACCGTTTCCGCTCAAGTACGAGTCATAAATTACCGTTGTATAACTGCCAGTACTGAATTTCAAATATAAAATCTTAAACGATTTTCACATATAACCCTGAAGGATACTTCATCTTGAAGGATAAAGTATGAGAATAAGAAAAAAAACTACCATTACCAAGTTGAACCATAAATACTAAATACTTATTTATGCATAACACAGTCAACAGCTGTTTCTATTAGAAATGAAGTATTTACTACGCCTAGCAAAGTAATTACTAATTTATTATTTTCATCGCTATTCATATTATTTATTACAGACAATTACAGGCGCATTCAGCAATATAGTAAGAAATCCTACATAGGTACTATGAAAAGTCAAAATACCTCAAAATACTTTATTATAGCTAAGTTATACTGATAACGCGTGTACTGTGATTCAAAATCTATGTTACATTTGTTTTCAATTGATTACAATTTGTAATACATACTCGTATGCTTATTAGTGTAGGTGCCATATTCCGATTGCAGCATAAAAAATGTTAAAACAATAACAATAATAATATCTTTCACCATATTAATATATATATTTACAAAAATAGCTATTAAAGTATTTTAGTTAGGATTCTAACCCACCAAGTTGAAAATTATAAACAGGCTTTAGAATGCTTGCACTTTTAAATATTATCGAAATGATACTTTTAGTGTTTAATATTGTTAGCCGTAACGTATAAATATGTAACAGTTTGTTTTCCATCGTTAATGTACACTTAAAAGTGATTTTTATTTCTAAATTTTTACAAATCGGATAGAATCAATTAAGAAATATGGTACCGTTTAAAATCAAATATTACTATTCAAATAAACATGAAATTTATTCGTAAATTGTAATTCGTCTGTACAACGTGTTGGAATTATTTTCATAATTTCGATCGGAGCAATTTTTACCCTAAGTGAATTCATAATATGCTAAAAAAAGGAATAAAAAAAAATACTCGAAAAGTGTCAGTGCTTTTTTGTAGTTTTTTTCATTTGTTTTATATAATACAGTAAACGAATTTATGCTAACCGACTTACAATATTGACCCGGTCGGTTATGTGTATTATAATACTCATCGAAATATTTTGCAAATCTCTCTGTATCAGTCATAAATTATTATGTATTATTCACGTTTGACAATTTTGGAATTTTTTTTTTTTACAGATAATCAAATCATGAATCGAGATGTCTCTCTGTTGCTAGTCCGGACACAAGTAATGGGTTGACATTATTTAACGAATCGTCTCCGTTGTTGAAATCATTCAACGTTCTTAGCGTATACTTGTGTAATATATATTTATATAGTTTGTGCGGATATGTATTATTTATTTTTTGCTTGGTTATTATATTTTACCAATTTTAGAGACTAGTGATCAGTTCACACAATATATTGATGTGAACAATCTGTCTTAAATCATTTTTATACACATTTTACAATGATTTTCTTATAATGTTACTTTCCACTTAGTGAAGAAAAAATACTTTCGTTAAAAAAAATTTGATCCATATAGGCATAGCCATGTTAAGGCGGGGAAAAATATGGCAAGTGCCCCACGGCATCTAAAGTATTAGGAATTTAGGGTGTGCCATAAAAATGAATGATAAAAAAAAAAAAAAAAATTGGTGTTTCATTAAGATACGTATTCATTTTACTTTTATACTAAAATATCTAAGAGTACTTAATAAATTGTATATACTATATATTATAAAATTGTGTAAATAATGTGTTTTAAATGTCTACATTAGTGTATAAATATTACCGAAGTATAGAATATTATTAATAATTATTTATGATTACAAATTATGATTTTGAAGGTACTATATAGTAAGTAAGTAGTTAGTAAGTACCAGATACCATAATTATCATAGTTCATAGACTTGATTTGATGTACGTAGATATCCATATACTTGATGAGTGTGTCACATCTATATACATATAGACTACTAAGTAATTATTAATAGGTTATAATATAAAGTATATGCAAATTATTTTAAAGTTAAACAATTAAATTAAATAAAGAATTTAGTTTTATTATTACTGGAGATGTACGTATTAGATATATTATAATTATTTAATACAAATTTTATATAAGAGATGTGAAAAAAAAAATAAGTACACTTGTACGCAGAACAAAACTCTAAGAATGAGTTAAAAAATAGATGACTTTACACTACCATTATTACTTATGAATCGATTTCAGTCAATGTGATAACCATTTTTGGAGTGAATTATTTTTTTCAACAGTAATAAAAATAAAGACTACAACTTTTAAGGGAAATTAATTATGCATATCACGAGACTTCTGAAACATTTTTTATTTCTCTATAAATTTTTTTCCTAATATACATCAATGTATCATCATGTTAGCTTATAGTTCACCCAGAAAAAAAAACAAAATATCGTGTATAGGTTTAATCGATGAAATTATTCTTAGTCAATATGATCATCGTCTATAATCGGTGTTTTATATGGAACTTAAGTTAAGCATGATTTCCAAAAGATAATTAAAAGAAAAATAAGTAGACACGCTCTATATAAATATTTATTAATAAATCATTTAAATGAAACATAAGGTCTGTTGTAAAAGTCGAATGACGTGGTCGAAAAATTTAAATTACTTATCGACAGATTTATTGTAATAAGTAACATACCATACGTTTGATTAAAAATAATATTTTATTATCATTACTTATTATATCTATAAGTGGTTAAATATTCAATACAATATATTGATGTGCATATTGGTGTACGAAAGTTTTGAAAACCAACCAAATAATAATTTTGTTATTTCGAGCTGATTATTAAAGTGTAGACGTACAGACACTTAATTTCATTGTATAGACTTAATACTGATAATATATGTAAAATAGAATGAATGACAACGTGCGATGGTAATAGATGAATCATCTGTATCAAAAGTTTATAACATATTGTGCAAATAAAAATAATAATGCATGGCTGTATTATAGCCTTTTAATGCATGCAAACATAATATGTATGTAATAATAAGTATTCATATAAAACGAAACAGTATTTATAAGCTAGTTTAGTACCACTATAGTATTATATCCAAAGATGGGCAAGTTAATTAAAATAATTAACTCTAGTCAAGTTAAGTTAAGAGGAGATAAGATCGATAAGTTAAATGTAAACAGTTAACAATTCATAAATTTAACTCGATAAGTTAAAAGTTAATAAGGAAAAATATACTACCTTAATTCGGTTTAAAAAAAGTTAATCTACTTTTTTAATTAGTATATAGATCATATAAAAAGTGACTGCGTTCTTTAGAAAGATCTAATTTCCTAAATTATAATAAACAATTTTATTGATTTTTTTTATCATAATATACAGCAGTGGTGCCGAAGTATTTGAAAAATACTATAACAAGGGGCTACTCACTACCGTATTTATTTATTTTTATAGTTAAGATTATTTATACATTACATTCTGTAATGTTCACGGCTAGAACCCAATACCTAAAGGGGAGCCCGACCTACAAAATCTAATATGACATCTGCTGATGTACAATGTATGCGACCATTTTACTTTACATGATTATTTAATTTTTGTATTAATATTTACATATAAACAGTCAAAATTATTCAACTTGATAGATCATTTTTAAATTAACTGTGAAAAGCTAAGTTATTTCAACTGCTAATCAAACTAGTTAAGTTAAAAAGATTGATTAAAATATAAATTAACTAGTTAATGCCCCCACCTTCGATTATATCACGGATGAAATTTTATTAATCCAGAAAAGTTAATATTGCAGTAGGTTACGTGCGTGCGTGAGAGTTCATACATAGATTTTAGTATTTCAACGTGTACATGTACACGTGCAAAAGTGTTGCAAATACAAGTTAACATGCGAGCATTAATCGACAAATAAGCTTCTTTTAGGTGAGAACGGTTTTTCGAGTAATCGTAGACCGCAAAACGTGGAGGGGGGCAAAGGAATATAAAATTGAATAAATTTGCAAAAAAATAATAATAACAATAATGCAATCGTCTTCGCGTGGCGGTTGGTCGTTCTTCTAACTTTGTTCGTAGGTATATAGGTATGTTAAACGAACATAAATATAATGCCATAAATTGTTCAATATTATTATTTAATGAAATTCTAAAAAAATTCTTTATAATGGTCAAATTATGTAAAATATAGAATAAATATATATGTTTGTTGTGCTCATAATAATTTTATTTTATTTGTTCGCGTGGTCTTTTCGAAACGTCGAATTCAGCCGTACAAAAAGCTCATTTGGAAAGAATAACGAATGGATAATAATACATAAATTACATATATTTACATGAATGTAATCGGTAAATATCATGTTGTACGTGTTAATATTAATTAGTACAAGTATGTGCACGGCAGGAGCGCGCAGTATATCGATCGTTACGTCGGCTAAACGAATGGGATCATGTGCGTTGCACGCGATCCGTGCACATACGGTAACGTTGCATTTATTATTAAATATAATATTCAAGTGCGCAATTTTATACTCACGTCGAAAACTAGACATACGAGTGTCATGACGACTAGGGCTTTGATCGCGATTTTTGCCATTTCGAAACAGTGGTGTAGGAGTTGATGGTACGGTTTAAAAAAATAAAATTCGATTGATCGAACACACGATATGTACGTCTGAGATGCAGCAGAACACTACTGTTAATTGCGAGCCAAAGACGGATATGTGGGTTAGCGAGTGTGCGTACGCGAGTGCGTGTGATTGTAAGTGTATGCGTATGTGTGAGTACGCGAGTGTGTGTGTGTGTGTGTGTGTGTGTGTGTGTGTGTGTGTGTGTGTGTGTGTGTGTGTGTGTAGTGATTGTGCGTGCGTGCGTTTGTGTTTTTCTGAACCTTAACACCAGGATCACGGCGGTCACCCGATTAAATATAATAACAAGAACACACGCGTCCGATAAAATCGCACTTTAGACACTTTAGGCTAAAGTCGTTGGTCGGGGGGAAAAAATCCACCACTGTTTACAATGTAAAATAATAATAAATTATAAAAATAATATTAGTGAACCGGTTGTACGCGTGGCGGAGAGAGTGTGCCCAATTAAAATCTCGTACAAAGCACCATAATATTTACATATTATGTACGAATATATGTATATTTATACATTATTGTATAGGTAAGTACGTGAGTACGTGCGCCGTAGATATGTCTATTATTTGATTTGATTGGTTAAGCCTTGAACGGCACTGGCGGTAGTGATTCTCGTCAAAATATTATTTGAAAATAGTGGCGGGGGAGAGTGTGGAGGGGTGTGGATTAAAAATAAAATAATTCATCTCCGCGTATATCTATGCGTCCGTTTACGACGATCATATTATATTATATTATTATTATTATTATTATTATTATTATTCATTGTGTACTTATTAATGTTTTCATTGGAAGGCCTCATTCTCTCTATCTCTCTCTGTTTCACCTCGATAGTTACAGCGCACACGTAGATACAGCCGCTGCGCTCATAATTTCAGTTTCAATTATATTATTCTCTCATCCTTTGTTATGTCGACCCGTGAAACAATGGTCGTGTACGTTTACGAGCGGATACGAGTACGCGCACGCACCCGTAATCGTGATAGTGTGCCTGTTAAATGCGAAAAGTCGAAGTCCTCCGTCGAAATTTCATTGAGATAACAATAGTATAACGTGTTTAATGTAATGACCTTCACTTGTGCAAAAAGATCGCTATCAAGAATCCTGAGAAATAATATAAAGCATTAATCACTGTTCCGCTGATATTTGAAAACCATCATCACAAATTCAATTCATAGTGTTTATACGCATGTGGGTGCAAGTTCTGTGATCGACACTGCCAATATATAGATTCAATGCAAAGAATGCAAAATCTGGGAGTGCTTGTCAGTTGTGGCTTGTTGCCCTTTGTACTCACTAATAATCAGTGACTCATAAAAGACTGACACACGGTACAATAAATGCATTTTTTTTTTTATGAGGCATTATTATAAATAAACGAATATAGATAAGTTAATCCCACCCACTATTAAGTGAAGGAACTCTACTTTTTTTCAATATTCGATCAAATTCGATGGGACACGATGAAAATTCTCTTCGCTTAATCATTCATTAAAGATAGACACTATTTTTATTCATTAATCTTTTTTTAGTTCATATTTAACGTGTGACTTACAAAATTTATTATTATTTGAGATTTTTGCAATTGTATTGAAAAAGAAAACATTTTTAACGGGTTCAACCAAAATTATACGAGGTAATGTGATGCAATCCTTGAAACTTTAAGATTGAGACATATTTTAACTCTATAGGTCTTGTACACTTTATCTGCTAACAGATATTTTTCGGAACGCACATGGTCCAAACTAAATATAAAGGCAGTTCATTTTGTTGTACGGTTCTATAAACATAAATCAATTAATAATGATTTGTGTGATTCATTAATTATTTTGTACTCTTTAACATTTTGATGTTATCGACAACGTTTTGGTTTAAAAAGAATAAAGTGGTTTACTGGTTTGTATACATAAAGCTATACGATATAATAGCTTCGATATGAGTTTCAAAATAAATTAATAGTTTTATAACTAAAAATTTAACATAATCTCCCATGGACTAAATCTTTTGTTTGAATTTAGAAACGAAATAAACGATTTTATTGACGAAAAATTATAAACATATGGTAAAATTGAAGGGACTCTTAGCTTTCTCCTAAATCTTAAGTGATTTACCATGGAAATTTATACGCATAGTTATACATAGTATTCTTATTTAAATTTTGTATCTAATTATTTTTTCCCGAATAATATTTATTTAAATTATATAAATATTAACCGTAAAAACATGTACGACAACATTTTAAAATCTTCAAAACTATATTTTGGTTATGTTACTGGTCATTTTTAATTGGTAAGTAATATACAATGATATACCAAAAATATAATAATATTTAGAATATCTTCTACTGGATATAATTTTTATCGAAATTACCTGAAATTTATTACAATGTTGTTAGAAATATTTATTTTGTATTTCGCATTGTTTTAGCCAACTTAATAAAAAATCGTAACCAATTATTTGTAATTTGAAATAAATATAAGTATGGTAAAACGATAAATAATTGTAGAGTTGCTAATAGTTACAGAAAATTAAAAATATTCCTCGGAGGATGTACTACAATTGCATTCATAATTTGTCGCGTGTTTTATGACCTACTTAGAAAACCTACTTAGAATCGTTGCTATTTTATAACATTGTTTTGATCATACTTAAATATAATTTTCATTTTTTAGTTGCAGTTAATCTGTAATAAATATTATTATTTTAAAACGATATGTAATCTGTTTGGACAAATCTGGCTATGGAATGTGACATTTCAATACGCATAACGATGACAAGCCCGAGCATTGACTCAAGTCGAACAAGTGATTTCCGTGTTCAGCTTAATGACGGTCATTACCGCAAACTACGTAATTATACGGACTTCGGATAAACACCTCTAATCATAATATTTTGTCGAGATGACACACGCGCGATCGAAATGATAATAAAACCGCTCAAGGTAAATTTTGTTGTGTCAAATTGTTGATGTACTTCTAACGATGACGAAAAAAACGTAAGTATTGGTATCGCGTGGAGTTCGATGACTATCGGTGGTGGTCAGTATGATCGGGTGTGATATTTCACGCGTTTGTCTGAGTTACAGGTGCTCAACTATTTTGTTTAGCACGATTCATTTTTTTCTGTGCGATTTTCATTGTATTTAAGTGTCTAATAACTTCGATAACGTTATGCCATTTGGCTGAAAAACCTTTTTTTTTCTTAAAAAGTCAATTAAAAAGTCACTGTAAAACACTATGATGGTAGTATTTCACGTGAACTCAATATAATTGTAAAACATAAATCTTAATACTGGTAAAAATAGTAAACAAATCCGATGACATTATACTGAATTATAAATAGATTTATCGACCGTACATTACCTAATTATTTTTTTTACATAACCTAAAATTATAATTTTCTTTTGACAATCTCATTTGTGTTTCGTCTAATATTTCAAAATGCGACAAATTTCAACTAGGCGAAAAAATATTTTCAACGGGTGTTACCTAGCAACCTAGTTTAAAATATGCATTGGAATTTAGGTTTTGCATTGAGCTCTGGCACATTTAACTTGATGATAATCAGTGGTGGTCGGTGCGATTATCATTTCACGCGTTTGTTCGAGTTTCAGTCGCACGTGTTCTGCACTATATTTGTTCAGCCCAATTCGTAACATTACGTTTATGTGTCCAGCAATCGTGGTAATGTCATGTCATTTGGGTTTCACATTGAATTATGCCTTGATTAAGGCGAAACGTAACAAAACGTACGTGTATCGTGTGGAACTTGATGACTATCGGTGGTGTTCGGTGCGATTATCATTTCACGTGTTTGTTCGAGTTTCGGTCGCACGTGTGCCCCAATATCTTTGTTCTACGTAACGCGTGATACCATGGTATACTTGAGTTTCAAACAACCGCAGTGTTATGCCATCTGGGTTTCGCGTTCGATTCTGACTTAATTGATCTACTGACCAGCTACGTGTCCTCGATTTACCTAGTTGACTGTGTAATGATTATTACATGTCCAACGCGTTAAAAATTTGCACCGAAAAATCGTCCAACTGAATTTATGAATCGCATAACTTGTTTGCATTTGAAATGCGAACCTGTGTAACAATATTGTATTAATGCTCGACGGAATCAAAATAGTAGATAAAACGGCGCACGGTCGATTCGACAAATGGTTACGAGTTTTCGTCTTTACAATAGTGTTCGGCACAATATATTATAATTTATAGTGTTCATTATTAGTGTAGTAGTTAATGATTGTCAAAAGAAAATTCGATTTGTCATCACGAAACGAGTTCATTAACCCATAATGCATAGTAATTTGTAACTATAAATTTCCGCAAGTGATTAAAAGGATCTGGGTTTTGGTTGGACATGGTCTTAGAGCTTTACGATTTACTTTTTTACGTTGGGCCTCATAACTAGGAAAATACGGTTTTATATTTTCTGCAATGTTAGAGTAGGCGGCCTGAATAATTTGGGACGGTTTACTTTGCTGTATCTTAATAAATAATATTCAATTAAATATTTTTTATTTTAAATAACTAATACATAATTTTAATTGTTACTAACCTTAAATTATATAATTTACAGAAGTAACACCAACTAGATTTGCTTCTAGCGCATGATTATGCTCTTTATGAGCTCTCGACATATGTCTTGCATCGATTGAAAATGCATGGTTTTTACAATAATTTCTATTAGAATTTCGAAAAAAAAATCTTTTCGATTTTTATCTTTTACTTTTATTTTTTTAAATATTTATTAACAAATATTTTTCTCTGCCTTGTTGGAATGGGCCAATACTTTTTTTCGTTTTGGTGGGTATAAAATACGTACAGTGACTATAATCATATTCAATGTTTTGACTTTATCTTTATTAACAGCTAGCTGTTATAGTACTATAATATATTTTACACATTTATTTTAACAAAAATCCCAACATTGTAAGGTTTTGAGTGTCTAGTTAAACAGTATTTGCAACCAATTTCTCATTATAGTGTGATGTAATAAATCGATAAGATAGTAATAATTTAAAATTTCTTAATAAAAATAAAAATTAACTAAATAAAAATAAATTCTCCACCAACTACATGTGCAACGAGCTTAT